CCTCCCCCGCCCCCCCACACACACCCCGAGCATCTTCTGCGCGGGTGCGGAGGGGAGGCAGGTGAGGAGGAGGAGAGTGAACCTAGGGGCTGCAAATCCCCCCTGCAGCGGAGCAGCCCCCTCTGCGGGCACCTGCCCGGGACAGGGCAGCTCTCCCCGCTAAACAACTCCCCATAACCAGCTGTGGGGCGGCAGCTGCGGTGGCAGAGCCCGAGCAGAGCTGGGCCCTTCCCGGAGCAGGGCGAAGTTTCAGCCAGAAGGGGCACCCTCGGTGTGCCCCCCTCACACACAGACACCCCGGGAATGCTACCCGTGTAATGTGGCTCTCAGGGGACAGAGGAAAAGCGAGGGAGGGCCAAGGAGCGAGGCTGGAGACTGTGTGGGTTTAGGGAGCCCTTGCAGGGAGAGAAACTCCACGGCAAAAGCCCCACAGGGTTTTCCTTCCGCCGGCCTATTCCCCAGCTTTGCTTAGAGCTCGGATGTGCCCCGCACCACCAAGCTCTACTGGGTGAGAGGCTTTTAAGAGCTCTGGACAAATTAAGGGTTGGGGGGTGGGATGGACTGGGGCAGGAAAGGGGGAAACCGAAGCCATGCGGATAGGAGAGCCCTAAATAAGATGCAGAAACTTTGGGGCAGTTCGTATCTCAGAGAGGGAAGAGATCAGCTCTCCTTGGGGACACACTGTTTGCAGGAGGGAAAAGACCCACCACGCACAGACATCCAGAAACAGGGGGTAAGAACCCAATGTCTGGAGGCATAGTCAAAAAATACACGTTTCCAGCTTCCCTTCCCTGCTCTCCTGAGAGGAAAATAACTCCCGGATACACAAGAAACAGCTCATTTGGTGCAATAAAAATTACCAGCACGGAGCAAAGCTACAGCAAGGTGCAGCGAGCTGCTGCCACCCACCCTCGCTGCTCCCTGACTGGCGTGCTTGGCCTTGGCAAGACTAATGTCCCCCTCAGGTCACCCCTGAGCGAAACAAGCCCCACGAGGACCCTTCTCGGAGCTCCAGGGAGAGCAAGACCCTCCCGTTACCCCCACGGCTCCTAGGGCCGCAACAAGGTCGCTCCAACTCCCCGTTCTCGCAGAGCAGCCATAAAGCGCCATCCCATCGATACCTATAGGGTTAGCAGGGATATATATGTGTGTAAATATATATATGCATGTATATAAAGCAATCGTAAGGTCCCTTTGGACTCCGCGGCCTGCAGCCTGTAGCGGCTTCAGGGCTTTATGGAGAGTGTTTGGGTTGCAGCCTCGAAGTTCCCGGCAGGAAAGCCGCACGGCATAAGGAAGTCGAGTCTGTAAATAGATAATTCCCCCCACACTGCACGTAAATAACGCTGCTTTAGGGGCAAAGGGGCGAAGCAGCAGACGCCTCAGCTGCTGCTAAAGGCAAAGCCCAGCGCTGCAGCGCAATTCCCAGCGCGGCCGCGTTGTCACTGGGGAAAGAGGCAGCGGGGAGGGCGCGGGGGCAGGAGGAAAAGGGAGAAAACCGGCCTCCTAAAGCACTTTCCTCCCTTTTATACCGGCTGAGCGGGATTGTCAGAGTCAAAAGCCGTGAAGCCCAGACTATTTATTAATTCATCGGGTCGTGTGCCACAAATCAAGCCCAATTCTGCTCAGCCACCGTGAAGCTCAGCAGGGCTGCCCGCGCTCGCGCTTTGTGCGGAGGCAGAGCTGTTCAACAAGCCCTCTCCTGCCAGCTCCTAATCTCCTCACAAATGAATTGCTTGAAGGAAACACTTAACAGGTACCTGTCAGTGTAAACAACCTGGTGGGCTTCCTAAATGCCAAGCTGATCCCTAAATTCCTCCCAGCGCGCACCGCCTGTGTGCCGGCATTACGCGCCGTGGCTGTTTTATTCCATACAAATTCCAGCTTTATCATAGTGCCCCGGCCTCCTTATCTGTGCCCCAGATCCAGCCAATGGCCGGGCCTGGGGGGAGGAAGGGGGAGCCCTTAGCAAACTGCTCTTGTCACCTGCGAGGTGGAGAACCTGACTTACCGAGCAATGTTTGCGGGTTTTTTTTTTCCCCAAAAGTTAATATTAACCAG